TGGACAAATATGGACATAGTAATTTATGGACATGGACATATAGGTTTGGACATAGTCCAAATTTTTTAAAAAATATGAACATATACCAAGTGCCAACACTGAATATTATACCATACAAAGTCTTATATATATTTATTAAAAAATTCATTTCTAATGACTAAAATTATTATCCCGGAGCATGCCTTGGATGCACAAATTTCTTTTTTATCAACTTCTAAAATTTATTGTAATGAAAATATAAGTTATACTAAAGTTAAGTTATACTAAAGTTCCTTTGCAATATCATGTAATAATCCTTATAAGATTGAATTTAGTGCAGCTTTAAAATTTTCTTATTGCTTATCATGCAATAATAAATTTTACCGGGCTAGAAAAGAAGCAAAATTTAATATGACACAATCAAGTTCTTTACAACATGAAGAATATGCAAAATATATTCCTACAAAAGAAGTTAAATCAAAATATGTTACAAAATTATGAATCTACAACTTTTATTTCTGCAAAAAAATGGTAAAAAAATCGGCAATCAGAATCAGAAATCATCGATTACTTTTTTTTTTTGATCTGCAAATTTCACATTTTTTTGCAAACCGCAATAATTAGTCGATTAGTCGATTATTCGACTAGCAGCTAGTTGATTAGTCGATTTTTAGTCAGTCGATGACTAACGGATTTAGTCGACTGACTAATCAACTAAAAATTTCTGACCGATTCCTATCCTTAACGATAACCATCCAATCAAATTTAATGATTTTTTTTTTTACTCGAATTATACTGTACATAACGTAGAATTCAAAAAAAAAAAAGTTAAGAGAGGGCAGGGTATTTTGGCGCGGGTGGATAACTTGGCGCACAGAAGTTTTTCGAAAAATAGTACCATTCGGTTAGATGATTCAAATTATATAAAAATTGCAGGGTTCTAATTGTTGAACTACAAAATAAAATGAGGTCAAAAATATTATGGTTCACGTGTCCAATTTTTCTTTTAATTTACTATGTATTTCCTCATTTGGACAATATCTGTAGGAGAATGCAGTAATACAATACAAAATACATAGTGCCCCGCTTAGCAGTTTTTGATAGATTTAAAAGTTCAAATTTCAAAGTTCTTTTTTACTTCGTTTTTTTTTTATATAAAAAGATAATTAATTAGATAATTAATCTATCTCAATAAATTTTAAGAATAAATAAGTTTTTTCTGAAAAGTTTTATATGAGCAACTCTTAGGTGTGCCAGAATACCCGACCCTCCCTTGTATTAGATTTTGATGGGAGTTATAATACTATAGCTTCATTTAAAAATTTTTACTAAAATTAATGATTTTGATTGGTTGTCAATTGATCTGCACGAGCTCCTTACTCTGCATTAGAAAACCCCAAAAAGGCGATACTTATTTTGATCGTACTCTGCATTAGAAAACCCCCAAAAGGCGATACTTATGATCGTTTACTGTTCTAAGCATCATTGTTAATCGATAGTATGAAATTACAAATTTAAAAATGATTTCATTCGCAATAAATGAACGTGAAATAATAACAATAGAATTTTAAAATTAACGGATTTTATTACTTTAAAAAGACTAGAAAAATTATATAATAAATTAATCATAATGATAATTATTGGATACTTCAAATGGAATAACGCGCAGGTCGCACGCAGGTGGGCGTTATTTCGCGCTTATGCGGTATATAGAAAACATTAAATGTGTAAGGTAATCCAATAACATCTATAACGACAAGAGATCTGTTTATCATTTTGATTGATCTATGATAAATGCATTGATACCTAAATTATTAATTGAAAATTTCTTCAAAATGTGCATAGAATGTTTTCTAAAACAATTTCATACTTTAGAATAAAGTGAGCATCTCTTTTTCAAAAGTAGTTGTCAAATAATTTTTTAAATATAAAAGGTTGCTAAAAAATCTTCTAACATTATCTTCTCGTAGTTTTTTTTCAAAACCATCCTCTAATACATATAATACTATATAATAAGATAATATAATATTATATTAAATTATATTTATCTATTTACAACATTTTTATTTTCTTATCTAAATTAATTTTTGTTAATAAAAATGAACAAACAAATTATATTTTATTTCTTAATTGCGTTAGTTGTGCTAACTTTCATAATAGAAGTTTATTCAACTCCAGTGATTTATAAATTTAATAATGATAAGAAACTTGATTTTTTGACACCAGAAAAAATGAAAAATGCTAAACCCTTAACAACTCGAAATCTTGGATTTAAAACAAGAAGTACCAAAATTAAAAGAAATACAACTGACTCCTCTAAAAATACGAAATCTATACCTCCTTTGGAGAAAAAAATTAGTTTAGCAGATGTAGATCAACAACAAAATATTCCCATCGGGAAATTATTCATTCATAACCAGGAGGGAGATTTATTTACTTGCACCGCCAGTGTAATTAATACTCAACCTGAAGGAGATGGAAATATTGGAATTACTGCTGCACATTGTCTTTATAATTTTACAACTCAAACATATTATAATAATATATATTTTTCTCCTGGATACGATAATGGACAACCTCAACCTAATCCACTTAGTGCAATTTCTGTTGATCTGACGGCAGTAACAGTTGAATTTATTAATAATAATGATGATCATTTCGATTGGGCCCTTATAAAATTTGACTTTAACTTGAATGGCCAACCATTACAATATTATACGGGTAGTCTCGGTTGGGCATTAAATGTAGGAGATAATATTCCAACAACGATTCGCGGTTATCCAAATGAAGGTCAACTTCCAAATTGTCCAAATGATGGAGAACATCTTTGTACGTGGCAAGGAACACCGAATTTAGCAGATTATTATCTCATACCTGACTTAGAAATAGGAGAAGGTGCAAGTGGATCTCCTTTAATAATGAATTATGATCCAAATACAAATTTGGGTACATTATATAGTAATTATGCTTCTTTTGATGAAATCGAGGAGGAAGCTCTTTCACCTATTTATGATCCAATAGAATTCCAAGCATTATTAGATGAAATTACCAGAGGATAAACCGTATCGACCAGTCAAAATATTACTACGGGATTATTAACCAATCAAATTGTGAAATTTACAAAAAGACGAAACGATGGGATTCAAGGGGATTCAAAAAATATGTTGTAAAGCAAAGTGAGAGCTTCATGTTTGTTTAACCATTTTCAATATTCATAGAAAATATAAGTCAAGCGAGCCTTCTAAAAAAGTATATAAAAAAATTTTTAATCACGATTTTGTGACGTATCAACGGTTCCCCCTGTTCATTACCGGTCTAGGTGTTTAAACTATCATGTACTGATTATTGTGTTTATTATTTTTTATTGATCGATAATTAAATTACTAATAATATCAATAAAGGTAGTTGCGCAATAACATACCGCCCATATTTTTTCTACATAAATATTTTTTAACCCTTTGAACAAAAATAACTCAACAATAATTTTTTAATTAAATTTTAATAAAAAATTTTTTTTAAATCAATTCTAAAAACTTCATTTTAAAAAATAATCTAAATTCAATCCAATTTTTATTAAAAAAGATATGGTGCGTTTCTACTGACCCACCTCTCATATATTAACACATGAAAACTGACATGACTGTTCAAGGAATTTAGGTTCGCAGATTAAAAAATGATCTTTACTGTATTCGGCAATTTACTAAAATAGCACTTCACAAAATAATTCTAGCCATCTATTTGTTAAGTACAATAAACCACTATATAAATCTGTTATTTTATGCAACACGGTTAATTACTTGTTCATTGAATTCTGTGTACGACAAATCAAATCGTATCGGTACGTTCATCTTTTTAAATTACAGTAATCCTCTTTATGGTATTTTATTAATCTCAAATATCTGCTCTCACTCAATATTCAAGACTTGGATAAATATATATATTAATATATATTTATATTTAAAAAAAAATCAAGATCTCAAATTTATTTCTAGCTCAAAACGTAGCATACATTCTATCGTATATGCAGTTTTAGGTTCAACGGCTGATCTTGTAGCAAAATGAATGGACAATCGATCTTACGCCTTATCAAAAAAAAAATGAGAAATTTTAGATCAAATTCTACCCTGATTATATAAATTAAACGGCCTACATATTGTCAAAATCAATGTTAATGAGCAAATGCTAGCTAGTATCAATGATGATGAAGCCAACGCACCCTGTAAACAAATGTTCAGAGAATGCTTTTACAAATTAATTTTCAAAAAGCATTTATTTTCTCAGATGTGAAGTCAAACCACCAAAATTTCCAAGTAATGTGATTCAAAAAACATTATAGGTAATCTCCAAAAGGGAACATTTAAGAACTAAATTATTAAAATTTTAGTACGTCCATTTAAACTTGTTTTATCATATCAAAAAAAAAATAAGAAACTACCTAGTCAGAATGAAGTTACCTAGAAAAGATAATCGCACTTGATCGTTCGTTACCTGGCACTATTAAGCAAGTAGGAACAGTATTATAAACAATGATTAATGTTAACGATAATAAATTTGACTAGGTATATCAAATAAAATGCAAAGTTATACTGTAATCTTATAATTCAATAAATATATATATATATACAAAATTATAAAATCGATAAATTTAATGATATATACTTATATATATTTATGTACCGTATTATCGCGAAATAACGCGCAGGGGTGAAATTACAAATTTCGGCCTAAATCCGGGCCAAACCTCTTAATAACGCCCATGCCCGTTCTTAGAATAACTTTGATTGATACAATTTGCGTTCTCAATGAGCTTGAGTCACTGCAATTGGGAAACTTATAAATTGAAGATACATGCAAATATTTCCTTTTTTTTACTGCTAAGACTAGTACTACCAATGCTTATTGCTCAAAGTGTTGAGCTGTCTTAATTCTTTAAACCATCAAAGGTATCAGCCGTAAAGCTAATCCCATGCAATTTAAGTTTTAACGAATTGTTTTGATTCAATTTTAGTTTGATTATGCCATGTATGTAATAATTTATCATATAGGCCTCGTATTAGATCTTTTAGGTATTTTATCTCGTATTTAATTTAATCTTGGTAGATTTGCTTCTAGAAGATCTCTTTCTCTTCTCGCTTGGTTGTCACATGAAGACAATGCTAAAAGTGTAAAAAATGTGAAAAGTATAAATGCATAAAAAGTGTATAAAGTATGAAGTGCATAATGAAAGTATAAAAAGTGTAAAAGTGTGAAAATGTGAAATATGTGAAAAAATAAAGACTTTGAAGTCAACTTTGTTACTAAAATTAATTTTGTGAACTGCTTTAATGAATCATTCATAAAAATTTAGCTTAATTTTAATAAAGATGAATTATTTGCATAATTTGATTAATTAAATTATAAGCTATTAATATTTATATTTAAAATTTATATTTTATAACTTTTTTTTGTGAATGATCTAATGATAGTTTCTAGTAGGGATGTTATCCTGCTCCAACCGGTTAGCTTGTGCTTAAAAACCCGTTGGAACACTGTTTCGGAGCATTTACATA